CACATGGACTTATTAGAGAGCTATAGTCTCTGTATTTTTTAAAACCACCTGGAACTGTTTATGTAATCTCAAGATAGCAAAATTTCCTTCATACCATTTAAAAATTATATATTTGTTATTTATGAGTAATCATTTTAATTTCAAAGAAGTTGATTTGTTTTTAATCTTTGCCAAACAGTAACTTGAATTTTCCCTTTATTTGTAGTGTATAGATACATTTAGAAGGTGTTAGGCTATGATGATCTTAACCATTAAAAGTAGTTTTATTGTAAAATAAAATAATCACAGAGCTTATCTTATGAAGAGGAGGTAAGGATTTTATTCTTTTCCCCTCTCTGCATCCATTGTCTCCACTCCCACCACTACCCTCACCTGCCTTAGATACCCATTACCTCTATTTAAATCTTATCTGAAAGCATCAGTAAGGTGGTAAGACTCAAAGTGGGACCATTACCAAAAGTATTTGTGTTTCAAGAGGGAAATGGTTTCTAATCCATAAAATAAAATTTTAAAAGTGTAGGATTCAGAATAATGGGAAAATGGGACAGGTCTTAAGGTGAGGTAAATGGATTGGGGCTTTCCTACAAATACTAAAATTATATCATGTATATTGCCAACTCCCGAGCTGCACAGAAAATCAGCCTTGCTCACAACTTACCTATTCCACACACTGCTATTCTCCCAGAACTCATAAATCATGTAGCGAGATTCATTTGAAAGCTTCTGTATAGAAATACTGAAATAGAAAAGGAAAGGTATAATTAGCCATTGGAAATTAAAGAAGCAAACTAATTTTTATAATCATCTATATGGTATGAAACAATCATATCCATTCATATAGGAAATAATCTAAGATGCCCACATGAAAGTTAAGCAGGTTTGTCAAGAACTGATATGTTCAATATGTCTGGCATAAAACTTTTTTAGTTTTTTGGTTTGGTATCATGAAAACAGTCACAATGTATTATAGACATCACAAATATAACTTTTGTAAATTTTCATTCATTAATTCTAAAAGGTTTATCGAGCATCTGTTGTGCCAGAGTTCAGAAACTCTGGCTCTTTGTGGCTCTTTGGAACGGCGCTGCCAACCACCATAACTCTGTCAAATTCTTAGCCTTACCCCATCCCTGCAGTGACAGCTTTCGTTTGCTCTATGTCATTTGAGTCACTTGGGGCCACACTGCTGACTTCTAATTTGCCAGTGCCTAATGATTCTCTCTCTCTCTCTCTCTCTCTCTCTTTTTCACACACACATGCCTCTCAGCTTTGTCTCTGGATCAAAGTTTGAGAATTCACATTCTGGCCATAATTGCAGATTTTTGAAAAAATTGCTTTTCCAGTTTGGGGAAGATACAATTTGTTCCTTCCAGTGCTTAGCTGAAGGACCTTAGCCTGAGGGTGGCTAAAAAGCCTATATGTTATGTTTTGGAGAAGTGAAAAGAGGAGGCTGGCTGAAAAGACAGGTTGAGATGAAGACTGTGGATTTAATCCCGTAGCAACGAGGAGCCACTGAAGGATTTAAACCCAGGGAGAGTGACATGCTGGAGCTGTATTTTAAAACATCCTTCTGATGGCAGTACGAATATGGTATGGAGGGTAGTCATACAAAGCAGAAAGAAAAGCTGGAAAGATAGTGAAATAGCTTAGGTGAGAAATTATGAAGATCCAGATTAATGTTGAAACAAAGGAATGAAGAAGAGGGGACAGATCCATCACT